CAAAGTTATAGAGTTTACAAGAAAAGCCCTAAATGTTCATTGTCACCTCAGAGCTACAGAAAGAAAAACGAAAAATGAATTTAGGGCTTTTCTTGTAAACTCTATAACTTTGCAAAGGAAGGTCGTGTAGAGGTGAGAGATGCCTCGTTTTAATCAGAAATTTATGGACTACAATTACGCCTCATTAAGAAACCTTTTGGCTGTTCTTTAGAGTTTCTCGAAAACTGGTTTTCCAGAAGACCGGTCTTTGAAGGCCTAGCAGCAGCATTCATAGTGATATTCGGAATCAGCATCGTCGCCTACCTATAGTCCACTCGGTTTCGTTAAAAAAGCGATTTATCAGTTGGGGTACTTCCCTCGTTAGAAGCATGATTCTAAATTTGATAGAAATTTTAAGCGATTTCATAGAAAGAATATATTGAACCATTTTTAATTTACATTTTTAATTTGTACGTATCGTGCTTGCCATCTGGTTTATCATCTATGTGACGTCAATTAATTTAAATTACTATAAATTACTTATACTTACAGTTTATACATCTGAAATGGTTTAGATTTTTAAGAATTAACATCATTATTGAACAATAATTGACATACTTAATCGGTGATGCTTAATATTTGCATGTTTAAAAAATTGATGTGAACTAGATAATTTTGTTTTCCTTTTGTCTCTCACAGATGTGTATAAACTTGATTGTCTATTTTACTTCAAATCAAACGTCAATATCGGTTCAACATTTACCAGCAAACCTATACATAATATGATAAGAGTCAACCATTTACTGATAAGCATAAAAATTTTTTGACATTATTATTTGTTATTTATTTGATCTTACATTCTATGTCAATACAATAATTGTTCTTATCACATTATCGGTAAAAATTAATCAGATTATTCGAAATACGGTTAGATAAAACTGCTCCCATAAAAATATCACTTTTTTTTTTTTTATTAGAATTTTTATATTAAAGATTGAATGGATGTTTTGTCGTCCATGACTATAATTTTTGTGTCAATGTTGCATACATTAACTTTTCATCTATAGGATATATTTGTGATTCGTGAAATAAGTTTTGATTCCAGTTCATGATACAAGCTGAGTAAAATTTGAATGTCACGAATACTGACTGACTGGGAAAGAAATTTTTTTTATATCTGATAAAGTATACACTGGATACGATATGTATACACTAGGATACCACAAAATGGTTTGTTCATCTTGAATAAACAAATTGTTATTGTTTAAGTTATTTGGCTTTGTTGATCTAGTTGGTATCTTAGACATTGTTGTATTTTAAGACACATTATAATTTATCATCTATCAATGTCACGCGACGTTTTTTTTTTAAGTTTTCAATAGACATTTTAGTCTACGAATCAAATGTTGCTGATGTTCGATTGATGATAATAAATTGTACTATCAACGATCACTTAGATATTGAGGCACCATATTTGATAAAAAAAAAAAAAAAAAAACTATTATTAGTTTTTTTTTTCTGTTTTAAGATCGACTAATACCATTGAGCTATTTTTATTTTTCTCTGTTGTACGAGTATCATTTGAGTTAGTTATTTCAGTATACACCATACTTTCAATTTACTTCATATGTTCCTCGTCTACCTCTTGCTTTTCATTCATTTAATTTCAAAGGTTAGAGTTGATGTCTCAATCTAAAAGTAATGAACATGTCAAGTGTGCATCTATTGTTTGGTCGTTAATTGAATGCCCACAGGTAGCGCACTAGATGAAAAAACAACACAATGGTAAAGAAGAAATTTTTTAAATTGAGACAAAACAAGCAATTGAATACATCTCTTGATTGTTGCTCTTCAATTTTCTTTAATATATTCCAATTGAACATGTTAGAAAAGAGAGTACTGGCTTTTTCTCGTACATATATACATTACAATATTGAACGTGTGAATAGTCAAAAAATTTATTTTCCAAAATAGATATATTTATATACATACAATTATATCGTTTGATTTTATGTAAATTTTAACTTTTTTTTTTTTTCTCTATTATTAAGCTCAATATGATGCTTGTATTTCACATTTACTTTTCTAACAAACATTCATCGATATGTACATTTTTGAAGGTCAAAAATGTGTATATGAACAACTCTTAAAGAGAAAAAAAAAAAAAATTGTTACAATAATGGTGAGAAAACATACATATACACGTAGGTGTCTTTATTTTCTAAATAAATATTTTTCTTTTTCCGACAGTGCATGAGAGAGTGAATAATCAAATAAAATCGGTGATGATAGTATACACTTTAGTAACATTTTTGAGATTTCTAATAATCAAAATTTATATTAACGTGTATTGTTGCCATCATACTTCAATTTACATTTGCGTAATAGAGGCATCAGATGGTGAAATCTGAAATTCATATCAGAAAAAAAAAAAGAAAAAACCCGAAAGAAAGAAAAAAATTTGTGATTGTGGACATAAAAACTTAGTGACTAATTCAATAATCACCATCAACATCTATTACAATAGAGATGTTAATTTTATTTGATATGACAAAAGTTTTTTTACCTTATTTTGATTTTTTAATTCAATATTTTTATATTCAAAATCGTTTACTGGTACCGATGTTCAATTTAGATGACTCATTTGTAGCGTATAGTGCCACTAACAAAAATTTTTTAAGTCTATTTCTCTCATAAGAATAATTAGTAAGACTATGAACATTAGAAAATGTGTTGTACTTATGAAATCATCTACATGTGGGAAAGATGTAAAACGATCATTAATCTATATAGTTTAGAAAGAATTCATTGATGCTACAATAATGTGTATTAATTTAAAGTTTAAGATAAGCTCTACTAATTATCGTGTTCTATCTTAAAAAAATTTTTTTTTCTTTTCTGTCTCACACGTATTTCCTTTTTATAGTACAAATTTCATTGTCATTGTTCTTCTTTCTTTTTTTTTCTTATATTAAACGGTGAAATAAGTTTGTGCGCATTCGATTTTTTTTCCTGTCTATGTGAACTTTTTACTAAAAAAAATAAGAAAAAAAAATAATTTTATTGAACTTTTATTTTATTTCGAAGTCACAAGCTGCGGCTTAATGATGAGCTATACGCGTTTTTTCGACCTCATAAGAGTCTTTAGCTAATACTAATTGTACAATATGTATGCAAATAAAACGAATGGAAAAAAAAATCTTATTCTTTTTTTCTCTACTATACACATACGCACACACACACACACACACACACACACACACACACACACACACACACACAAACACGTACTATTATTCAGCCGGTCATACTCTTTCTATTTCTGAAAAAAAAAAGTTGTAAAGTTATTTTTGGTTCTCTCACTCACTCTCTTTTCCTCTGTAAAAGCAACAAAGTAAAAGAGGTTAATATGTAGAAGAAGAGAATAAAAAAATGACCAGCACCATGAGGTAAAAAAAAAAATACCGACTATGTTCTTTACGTCGATATTCATACACAGAACTGTAACTGTAAGCAGGAAGGAAACAACACTACTTTAATACAGTTTGCACAGTTTGCATTTTTCGAAAATCCGGTTTTTTTTCTCTTTTTTTTTTTTTTTTTTCTTTTTTATTATTATTCTCGTCTTATACACACACACACGTAGACACTGATCTGTTACACTTACTAACAGCAAAAAAAAAGGAAAATTTATTTAGTTCAAAATTAAAACAAACAAGAAAAGTATTACCTTTAAGCTCAATTAATTAAAGTGTGAGTAACTGGTAAGAATTTTGTGATTTTTTTTTTGTTGTCGATTTTATAAAATATGCAGTGAAATTTAGCAAAAAAAAGAAAACATTATTAGTTTATACTGTATTAATAAATACGAAGTTCTATAAAATATATACGTTACCGTATTCCATGTCTCATATTATACGTAGTCTCATTTATGCAGTACGAAAATATGATAATAAAAATCAAGTTTTTTCAATTATAGATGTGATATTTTTTCCGAATTAATGCCTGAAACTGATTCCTTTTCGTCATCTACCTCCTCTTCATCATCATTATCTTCACCAAGAGGTTGTTATATTCAATCATTGGATTCCACCACAACAAATAGTTCCAATAGTACAACAAGTATTGCCCGATATAAAACAGAACTTTGTCGTCCTTTTACTGAAACGGGAAAATGTAAATATGGTGAAAAATGTCAATTTGCTCATGGATTTCAAGAAATTCGACAATTAACACGTCATCCAAAATACAAAACAGAATATTGTCGAACATTTCATACCACCGGATATTGTCCATGTGAGTATAATCATTTATCGTTATACATCATCAACTATTATCATTTCAACAATTAAATATGTTTAGATGGACCCCGTTGTCATTTCATTCACGATATTAGTGAAGCACGGACGAATGATGATCAAGTTGAACAAAAAACAACAACAGTTCGTCGACATTCAGAAAAAACAACGTCACAACCACGACCTTACACAAGGTATAAAAAAGAGGAAGTTAGTGTGTGATAATTTTTGATATTTTGAATTTTGTAGGACAAGAATTAACAGTGATTATGCTTCATCAAAAACGTATTCAAATATTCAAATTTATGATAATTCTCTACCTCGCTATCGTCAACTATCTATTTCTCCAAATACCATAAGAAATGCTCAACCATCATCACTGTCATTCTCGACTGAAAACAATCAACGTATTATTACATCGATTTCATCATCTAAACCAGTTGAACTTTATCAAAATCGTGATAATAAAAAGATATTTGAACCATGGTTCAATCAACAAAATGAAAATGTTTTTAAATATTCCAATTGTCGTCGGACTGTTGACATGTTTGACACACAACGTGTTTATCGAACACAATATGTATAACAGTTGAAAATTTTAAAATTAAACATATTAGGGTACGTGTTTATCACGTTTTCTAAAGAACTGTTACGCAATATTACTGCACTTTATCTGTAAAAAGAATTGCAAAAATTTTTGTTGGCACTAGTCTGTGCCTCTATAATATATGCCTGCACACATATGCATTTATTTTACAAATCATAAATGAGAGATAAGAGCTTAATATGCGTTTTATGTATCATGCGTAAAAAAGGCTCGTACACTATACAAGATTTATGTGCAATAAAAAAAAAAAAAAAAAAGGAAAAAAAAACAATTTTTTTACATGCACACACAGAGTCTATACAAATATTTCAGGCAGATAACATATATGTAGACATTTTATGTTTTCAATTAAGAACTCGCTCTAATTCTTTTTTCTTATTAGATGAGCTCACACAGTAATGTGTGTAAAAGAATGAATAAAGTCTAAATCAGAAATAGAAGAAACAAAAATAGTAGTGTCTTTAATTTATTGTATTTCACGAAAGAACTTCTTTTTTCTAAGAATTTCAAACTTATTACATTTCTCTTTCTCTCAGGTGAATGAACTATTTTTGACCTTCTTCTTCTCTCTTTTTTTATCGTTCTAAAAAAAACTCAGGTTCTTTTCAGCTCCTCGTTCTACTTGCCATAATTGAGGACTACTTTTAAGGCGAATGAGAATCTCAGTTTAAACTGACATACTGAGGTCTTATTTATCCTAATAGTGGTTGTCCTCTTTCTTAAACGAGGCAATCGTAACATGAAATTTCTTTAGTTAGCGATGTTTGTATCTTGTGCAGAAAACAAATTGAATTCTATACTTTTTGTTTATTGCAGGAGCTAAATTCTATTTGTGTGTCAGAGAAAACCGGTTTTGAGAGGATAGGACGGTGATTTAATAAAATGACAGTTGGCTAATTTTCATTTCAAAAGTTTACTAAGCGAAGTGTTTTCAATTCCGTTATTATTATTATTGGAGAACTACCTCAAATTGATGAGAGTAATTTATATTCGAGAGACTATTTATGTTTCCTTCTTTTGTTTTTCTGCACTTTAATACTTTTTTTTTTATACTAGCTGTTTTTTTTCCGTTAAAAACGTTTCTGTTTTATTGACATTTTTTAGGTGTGTATGGGTTTTATTGCGAAGACAATTTATAATTTATATTTCTCCGTTTTTCCGTTGTTCTTGTTATTATTTTTTGAACGCTTAGCTTTTTTTTCTTTTCGGTCTATTTTTTGTTGTTATTATTAATTCCCTTTTGCATAGCATTTTTTGTTTTTCAATTTTTTGTTTGTTTAAGATTGTCGAATACGACAAACACATGACTGAGTAGTATTCGTACATATGAAACATACGGTAGTGAGGGTATGAACTAACATGAATCATTCACAATGTCAATGAAATGAATGTCAATGTTCATAACGATTTAAACAATAGATTTGTAATGAAACAGATTTTAAACTTATTATTTTAAAATTGAACTTGTCTGAATTAAGATTTTAACAAAAATACTATTTCTAGGTCATCCTAATATGCATATTTATTAGCTAAAAGTAACACTAGAATTAATTCATTATTTTGTAAAGAAATAAATTATTTCTTATGAAATAGAATTTTTAAAATTCACCAATATAAATAGCAAAGCAGAAAACTGTCATAAATTTGTTATATTTCAAAATGCTGCCTAATACATAGATTAATTAATCTTAATTTATAGGTTTTTTTTTCTTTTTATTCTTATGTATAGAAAATAAACGTAGTATAAATATAATTATATCTATAGAGTAAAATTATTGTAAAATATATGCACAGCACGTTTTTGTAATAGATAACCGAAAGTTTAATATACGATAGAGAAAAAAGAGAATGAATGTCTGTTTCTTCTCTATTAGTATGATGGACAGAAAAAAATTGTTAGGGGTGCTTTTGTTGGTCTATAACCGTCTCGTATACTTGATGATGGTCATTTACAGAAAAACGTTGTCTTCAAAAAGGAACAACCAAAAAAAAAATAATAATAAATAAAACAATAGCGGTTGTAGTTAATAGATAATTGATACGTGTGTGAGGAAATTATCTCATTTTCTAACATAAGTATGAAAGGAAGAATAATGATAACTAACCTTGACATATCAAAAGGAAAATATGATTATTTTCTGACCAACATTATCGCATATAAAATATTGTAGCGTATTTCTTTTCTCTTTTGTTTCCAAACTTAAGAAATTAAATATAAATCCTATCAGATCCAAATGACCATATTGATTAATAAACCAAGACAATAAAAAAAAAATTTCTTTTCAAGTATTAATTCCACAGAGAAACAATATTCTATCAAACAAATACGAAATAACTTGACACTGATCTTAATTTAGGATAATTAAACCATATCCATACGTTTTGCATAGATATACACCTTTTACACAAGAATGCGACTACTATCCATTTCAAAATAAAAGAAGGACGATTGGTTTTTGAATAACTTTTATTCTGAAAATTCAAGAGATCTGCGATTTTCACCATTTGAAAGTGGAAGCCTACAAGCAACTTTCTATAAGTAGAAAAAGTCTCAAAAAGTTTTTTGAAACCATTTTTCTATGGGAATTAAAATCGTGTTCAGCATATAAAGACCTGTAGTTTTCAACTGATTTAAGACTCGACGGTTGACGTACCCTAAACTGTTAACATCAAGAAGCAAACACTCCATGTTCTCATATAGGAAGAAGATTTTACATGGAAATATTTCATTCCTAGAATCATGGAACGTGTAAGGTAGAACGGCGAATAGTTCGATAGGAGAACTATGTCATCGATTTTTTTCCAAACTATATATAATATAACCATGCTGACAACATTTTATAACGGGTATGGATGAGAGGTAACTGATTTGTGAGCTGAGTTCTGTTTTCTGAGCTGTAGTACTTTGTATAGAAAGTTTTTTATTGTTTATTATTCAAATACCAATTTTACTATTAGCTAACTTTTAAAAAGAGTGCAACGATTATCTGCATTCAGTTTATTCAATAATTGATCTAGTGGTTAAATTGTCTCTGACATTCTTCAAAGGTATTGTGTTTGAATCTCGACACCGTCAATTTATGTAATTACTCCTACGTTCGTTTCTTGGATCATCTGACCAATAGTATCATCACTACGTCGTAATATACAATGCAGTTTTTCCAGTTATTCTTCATGGCTTGTTCGCGATCAGTGAGTGTGTATCAGCGACCGTCGCAGGGTACATTTTTTAGTCCTGTCCTGCCCTGCCCTGTCATAAAATTACTCGTAAAAAGTCTTTTGACCTACGCCGCCCTGCAGTGCAAAAGAAAGTTTTTCTCCTTAACCTAGAAGACTTTATCTTCAAGAAACTCATCACAAATACTGGATGTGTTTCTCGTGCGTAACAGAATCTTTTTTTATTAATTATCAATTTTAGAAAAGTTGGCTGTCATTTTTATTTTCACATATACGAGAGATCTCAAAATTTTACTTAAAAAGAAGCCTGAAAATCTCAAAAATCAATCTCTCGCAGGGTAAATCAAGAAATGTTTACTTTTCCTGTTACAGGGCAGGGCAACAAAAAAAAATTGAGTGAAAGAACTCTCCATCAGGCAAACTTTCTATCCAGAACTATAATTGATGACAAGGATGAGATGGATGACTGTGTCAGAAGGTTGTCAACTGTAGGACAGATATTGGACTATTAAAACTGCCATTTATCAACATTCTACACCGGTACAGGTAATCGTAAGGTGAAGTATTCTTGCTTCTTTTCCCATTCATTTAAACAGAGTAACGGCAAGGGACAGATAAGTCACAAATGAACGTTATTTGTAACAAACTGCTTTTCGTACTAGCGATTATAAGGATGATTATTCCTGATAAAAGTATTTCGTTCACTCGTCATGCAGCGGCATCAATCATTTTCACACAAATTAACAGAGGTCGTACACTGTTTCCTGATTAGTCAAAGTTTTTCAACAAACCAAAACATAAGGTTCTAACCTAAAAATATCGTTGAATACAACATCATTCGATTATACAGATCTAAGGAATATGCATATAATACGTGAAGTTTGACTATTTATACTGTACTTCTTTGGTCTGAGTAGTTTAAACAAAAAAAACGTTATGAGGCTTTTTGTAAATTAAGACTATCGGTCCATGAAATGATCGTCTCTTTCATTTGAAATTGCCTTATTTTAACAGGAGATTTCCGAAAGTTATTGTATATTAATCGAATTTTATTGTTAAAACTATCAGTTTAATCACAGATAGATTTGAGGTTGTAGTTCTTCTGCAAATATTCTACCAGAATAAGCAATCATCGACGCTTTCGTGAAATTTATAAGACAGAACACATACGTTTCTAAAGAAGAAGATCAATTTTTGATAAAATTAGACAATTGGTCTCCTGAGGCAATATAATATTCTAGAAAATCTGTACTAAAATTCCTTAAATAGTTTTGATTAATTGAATTCCAATTTCGAGAACACGCAACATTTTTTCTTTTCTATTTTTTTAAAGAAATAATACTATTTCTAACTTTCCATTTTTAGATAATGTTTTTTCTCCTTTATTAGACAATTCGACATGACTTCTAATTCAAATCATTTATTCACAAGTTATCGTGCTCTTGGTCTTGTTACCGATCATGTCCCGTGTATCTTACGTATTCATCGTAAACATTCAAATCATCTGCTAATAACAGCTATTGGCAAAATATTTCATGCCTATCGTCTTAATACATTTAAATTATTGATTGTAAGTGATCCGCTACCGACTGATATTCAATGTTTAGCATCAGATAGTCGTTTAATATTTGTTGCCGCTGGTTCAACTGTTTATTCTTATCATCGTGTTTACCATCCGTATCGGCAATATTCAGAGCATACTGGTTCCGTAACGCATTTACTTCCATTTGGTGATGATCATTTAATAACAGTCGATGAGTCAAACACGTTACGTGTATGGGATATTGAAACGATAACAGTCTATTTATTATTACAATTTGATTCAAAACAATTTTTAATCACAACATTATTACATCCAGCTACATATGTTAACAAACTATTAATTGGTTCACGTCGTGGTACTCTACAACTATGGAACATTAAAACGAACAAACTTTTACATGAATTTTTCAATAGTAATAGTGAACAACAAGCGTGTGTAGCTATAACAGCTTTAGTACAATCGACTGTTGTGGATGTTTGTGCTATTGGTTATGAAAATGGACGAGTTATTTTACATAATATACGTTATGATGAAACATTAGTAACATTTACACAAGATTTTCATGGCCCAGTGACATCGATTGCATTTCGTCTGGATAATATTCCACATATGGCAACGGGAAGCGTCATTGGACACGTAGCGATATGGAATTTGGAAACATGTCATCTTGTATCACAAATTAGAAATGCACATAAAAATTCACCGATTGCTGGTTTACACTATGTGCCTGGTGAACCATTATTGATTACAAATTCAGGTGATAATTCGTTACGTGAATGGATATTTGATATGCCAGATGGAAATAGTTGTCGGCTGTTTCGTGAACGCTCCGGGCATAGCCAGTCGCCAAAATGTATACGTTTTCATGATCCTGAAATATTGTTGAGTGCTGGAAATGATGGTATTTTACGAACATTTCATAAAACATTAGATAATTTATCTAAGAGTTTTGGAAAAATGGCAAAAGGTGATGATGAAACACCATTACCAATTAGCGATTTCCGTTGTGAAATAATTAAAGAAAATGACTGGGACGGTATTGTGGCAATTCATGAAAATTTACGACGTGCAACTGTATGGAATTATATTAAATCAACGAAAAGTGCTCATACCTTTGAACATGAACGATTTTTATCAAAAAATTATCAAAATTTCGGTATTGTGGCGACATGTTGTGATATAAGTCCTTGTGGGAATTTTTCTACAATTGGTTATTCATCCGGACACATTGATATGTATAATATGCAATCCGGACAATATAGAGGATCATTTGGTAAGTGATGTATATTACGTATATGAAACAGTTATTTAAACTTTTAAGCTTTGTCAAAAGTCTTTATTTAGATAGTGGCAGTAAGACTTTTTTGTACAAGGCGCTACATGCTGCTTCATCTATACTATTTTTCTTTCATTTTAGAAGATAAATCGTCTAATCCTTCGTCAAAAGGTCACAAAAAGTTTAAATCTATCGCAGTGACAGCACATGCAACTCCCGTTCGTGGCTTAACATTTGATAATTTGAATATTCGTCTAATTTCAGTAGATAGTGATGGAAATTTGAAATCGTGGCGTATTAAAACAAAAGTATTGTTATCATCAACAGAAGTTGGACATGGTGTATCAAAAATGACTTTCCATCGAGAGAGTGGACTCATTGCAATATCATATGATGATTTTTCATTAAAAATATTTGATATTGATACAACATTAACAAAATGTATTCGAACATTTGCGGGACATACGTGTTCAATAACCGATCTATTGTTTATGCCTGATGCACGTTGGTTACTGACAACGGCTATGGATTGTACTATAAAAGTATGGGATATACCATCGGGAGAATTAATTGATGTCATTAAGTTTGATGAAGCGGTTGTATCAATGGCTATTAGTCAAAATGGTGATACATTAGCGACGAGTCACGTAAATTCAATTGGGGTCTATCTATGGTCAAATAAAACAATGTATAGTTCTTCTGTCACCATACGTCCAATTGATATTAATAAAAAAGTTGATCGTGTATCTTTGCCAACAACATGGTTAAAAGAAAATAAAGAACAAAATGGTAATATTGATATTGATGACCAGAGCGAATTACTTGTCGGCGAGTTTCAATCACCGCTACAACTATCAGATAATCTAATAACATTATCTCAATTACCTGAATCAAAATGGAAAAATTTGTTAGTATTAGATACAATTCGTCAACGTAATAAATCAAAGCAACCACCAAAAACGACAAAACAAGCGCCCTTCTTCTTACCAACCGTATCAAATCTAAGAGGATTTGAATTCGTTAATGATGATAAAAAATTAACAGAAAATGGAGACAATGATTTATCATCACGTATTCGAAAAACAAAATTGTTTTTATATGAATCACCCTTTACACGTATTTTAGATGATGATGATGATGACAATAGTAATAGCAAAAAGATAATGCAATTATTAAAAGACATGGGTTTGTCTAAAATTGATTACGAAATTCGTTCATTATCACCTGAACAAGGTGGTTCTCGCGAGAGAATGTTAAAATTTATTAATATTCTTAATTTGACATTTGAGTCTCATCTAGACTATGATTTAGCTAGCTCTTATTTAGCTCTATTTTTACAAATACATGGTGATTATGCGTGTAAAGATGAACAATTAATTGAAAAAGTTAAAATGCTATCTGACAAACAAAAACAAACATGGACCAGAATGTATAAACAACTGAGCCAATGTTTAGGTTTAGTCAAATATATTAAAAGTGTTACAACTTTGTAAATTTTTGTATTGTTTTCTATTTCTATGAAAACATCTCACATTGTTGTTATCTTTATCCGTTGTTATTACAGTAATTTTTGTTAAACTTATAGCAAAAAAAAGAAAATATAAAATTATCATTAAATTTCAGGTAGTCTTGTTTGGAGAGTAATTGTCGGAAAGCAATTCTGGGTACCAAAATCAATCTGCGTTTTGCAGTGTCGGTAAGAGAGTTTTAAAAGCTCTAGTCACACTATCTGCGCTAACTACCAAAATTTGATGACTAAAACATCATTATCACTCTATACTCAAATCTCAAAATCGATCATGACCAGCTTCACACTTTCGCTTTTTAGCACTTATCCTTTTTCATAGACTTAAACAGTCAGCTTTGTTTCTTGATAAAGCTGTAAACAATATACTGACTAAAGTGAGTTTGACTTGTAAAAGAGGTTCTTGAAAATGCCTTAGTTGTACAAAAATCCTTTTTACATCCTCCTGTAGAAGGTGAATATATATGAAAATTCTTTGGTCACGTATTTTCTAAGGTGGAATAGATCGAAAATACAGATTTCTGCTTTTTCCTATACTGATTATTCAACTTTCCGTAGCTATATTTGTCGGTTCCATTTGAAACGTTACCGTCATCATGCATAAGCCAAATTTTATCTTTATTACAAGATTATTTTTTCACTTATTAAGCTTTTTTCTTATACATCATCTGGAAGTAGAGGTCTTAAGTTTTAATATATTACATTTTTCGAATATTCTCACTTTTTGTGTGCATACACTTTGCTGACACTGATCACAACTATCTTTGTATCATGAATTTCTTTCTGCATGATATATTACATTGGATAAATTATGAGTTCGAAAATAATGTTTTCTATTTAAAGGTAGTACTTATTTCAAACTGTAGTTATTTGTCGACAAAACTGTTAATAGATAGTTTTAGTCATAGATAAGCAAAGGTTATAGCTGTATACATTATCATTTTTCATGAAAAAACGAAAATGAATGTCTTTGATATGAAACTGTTTGATCGGAAGTGATCATTGTCAAACGTTATGCGATAATATAAATAGATTTAACTACCGATTATTTGTTGTTTACAACTATCATATTCAAAACCTTTTAATAAACCAAAATAAGTAATTAAATTAAAAATATTTCAACCGTTCGATGTCGAAATTAATGTGTTGTTTTTTTCTATATTTTTCATCAGGCAGATTATGTCCAAAGAGTGTTTATATACTTTGATCGATTTACCATGTACTGTTCATTCACGCTTATCTCCATTTAAGGAAAAACATTTTCGGGTAAATATTGTTTGTCATTTCAGTATATTAAGTACACAAACAAAGTTAGAATTAATAATCTCTGCTAATGGGCGGGGCTGAGCATACATCAGTATACTTTTGTTGACACTTGTAGAATATTCCTATTTGAATGTGTTCGTACGTGGAAAGAATGTTCGATAATTCGATTGACCTGTTTACGCCCCTGTTTTCTATCTAGAACATAAAAGTCAAGTATTTTTTTGTTTCATCGTTGTCGCCAATTTACAAATATGACAGAACACGCGGATAATCTAAAGCGTTTCTCCTGTACAAATTCATGCACCTAGTGACCATCAACATGTTGATTAAGTCTTGAATTAATTAGTCGTGTGAACTGTAATGTACCTCTTAAGTATCATATCTATTTTTTATGTATTAAGGTAAGAAAAAAAGAGAAAAAATAAGTGGATTTTCGCGATTTCGCGATTCGCTTCGCTTGTCATCACGTTCGTTTTGTATTTTTAAAAAGTGCACAATACAAATATTTCAAGTGTATTGGTTGATTAATGTTGAATTATGTTTTCCTAGAAGTCTTATTGAATATATGTGGTATTAATAGATGGTGTATAACCGAAAATAAGAATTATTAATTTAGCGTTGTAAGTGTGTTTCTTCTGCAGCTTAAAATTTGAATTAATACTCTGTCTATCAGAGGTGGCCGATGGACTATCTTTAGCTCCGTCGCGGAGATCGCCTCGTAAACTTCCTGCCTGGTTATCGTCCTGTACCTCGCCAGATTTCGATAAATGTACTTCGCGGAGATCGCCCCGTAAGCTGTCTGCTCTGTTGTCGCCGCGTTCATCGTCAACTCTTGATAAAATTTTCCTCTGACACTTCCTCATCGATCCTCCTGAACCCGACAAAAATCTCTGCTAACATTAGTTAGTCATTGTTTTATCTTGGTTCACAAGAAGAACTATCACCTTTACTATAAAAATAGATCAAAATAAATATAACATCTATCGTTCACAAGAAAAAATGTCTTTCGCGGGGTTCGCGTCGTATAATTCTTGCCCCGTCGTGACCCCATACCTCGTCAGGCTCGCAAAAAATCTTCCTCGCGGGCCCTTGCAAGGATCCTCTTCCATCGCCCATTTTTGCTGTCTATAGCGTTTGTTGCTGGAAACTTCTATTCAAAAGATGTACTACGAAAAAGTGCTCTCCGCTGGTCAAAGAAGGCGGTTTTCTATGAAACTTCGATGTTTCATTAGAAAGTGTACATCTCGCTAATATGATGACCAAAAGTTATTTCAAGATGTAAGAATAGTGTAGTTCAATTAATGCCAGCACTACTTTGTTACAGGGGATTTTTTTCTATTTTCTTTGTTTATCACGTTAAACATTTATTTTTGTATCAACAAATGCTAGTATATGAACACGACAAACATATCTGTATTTTTTTAATTTTTTTCATTATAGAATGACTGTTTTTCAGTGGGTTTGCTTTTAGTTCACACAAGAAAGAAAGATGATTGTAATGGTATGGTTGATAACCGTTCACTTGCAGTACGAACAAGTTATTATTCTTCTCATGTACTGATCTTAATTTCGGATCTTTATTTTTCTAAATCTCTCGTCATTGTCTGTAGTCGATAAATAGGAGCAAGTTTTTGCGTGTTTAAGCTGCTCATACGTGAAAATATTTTTTAAACAAAACAAAAAGGTGTTTTTCTCCTTGTATTCGCTTCATTTTACAGCTACAATGTAAAAAATAGGTGCGGTGCACACGTAAAAAGACGTATAAGCAAAAAATACAAGCAAATCCGTATGTATTATATAGTCGTCTACGGATTAACTCCGAAGATAATATGCAGAGTAACAAGATACTCCAAGCACAGTATGCAATTTCTATCAAGGATCCGCATATGCTGCTTGTAGCCGAGACACGCAATCGTTAATGATAATTCTCTTGTGACGGGATAGAATCATTAAAATTCGAGTTTCAAGTCGAAATTGTATCAGAAATGTTCTCGATATTTAAAGTAAAGTTTTGAGTTCATTATATAGACGTATTCTCACGGTCAGAAATTCACTTCTTTGTTTGCGATGAATTAGATACATTAAGAGCCATTGTAGATAAGCCACGACCAACCGTACTCAATCGACTTTCTCCGAACTTGATTCCAAGTACATAGGTCAAAAGTACAATTAATAGTAAGTTTTTTGTCGCTCTATAACCCAAGTAGTTATTGAGATATTCAAGTTTTAAGAAAGGTTGTCATTTTTTTGGTGGTGGATTAGGATCAATTAGCGTTTAATCTTGAGTGTGTTATTTTCTAAGGGCTTGACTTAGAGATACAAAAATTTCAGCACAAATACAACTTGGATCAGGCTAGAAAACAGCGCAAGTCCGGACTCTAAAGGTCGTTTTATTATCAAGTTATAGATGGCGCTACTGCTACTACTTACACCGTTCATTATCACGTACGTAACCAGCTCAGTAAGACTCAGGCTTTTCGGGTAGATACTAGAAGAGTGGAGTGATAAAACGGCACAAGAGCAACTTTGGACTTCCAAGAGGAACGCGAGATATTGAATTTTTAGTGAAATTTCGGCATCGATGGATAGACTCTACTACTACTACTTGGGTTGTAGAGCGGCAAAAAACTTACTATTAATTGTACTTTTGACCTATGTACTTGGAATCAAGTTTGGAGAAAGTCGATTGAGCACGGTTGGTCGTGGCTTATCTGCAATGGCTCTTAAGATATTATTATAGAATTGAGAAACGGAGAGTAGCCTGTAAGTTATAAAAGTTAAATATTAAATAAAACTGGTAATTGAAAAATATGATTTTTTAAGTGTTCTGCATTTTTTTAATGTCTTGTCGATCTCCAATGAACAATGAAAGCGTATTTGGAATCAGAAGTCAGAAATGGATCGAAATATTTGTTAGTGGTGTTTCACTTTTAATATAATTAAGAAGAACAGTTCTTTGATGAATTTTTGACTAATTTTTCGAAAAAAGGGTATCTTGGAAGTTACCGTATTAATCTGGATAACTTTAGAAATAATTAAAGAGTAAAAAGAAACAGATTTCGAAGAAAAAGTATAGTATTATATACAACTTTGTCATAATACCAAAATTGGCGTCAGAGACACGACAGAGATTAGTCGCTGAGAACCGTGTGTATTTTAGCAGAGTCTCTCTTTTTTCATCACAATGCATGAAATGGGAAAAAGCAAGTGTTGAGTATTGAGTGCTAATCAATTCAATGAGTTTAAACAATAATGGGCTCAAAATCATACGGTGGACAGGGAAAGATCTGGGGTTCTATATGGGGTATTACTGAACTAATTATCTCTTAGACTTTTAAATAACAACGAATTGTACATCAGATCTCTGTATATCTGAATGGAATGTCTTTTTTTACCCCAATCGGAGTAAAAGGGAGACACAAGAAGTGGGCTCTTCAAATTCTGGATTTGACTTAAGAACCAGCGGACATTTTTATAAGTTACATATGAACGAGGAACGGCTCATCAGTTCTAGTTCCTTCGAACGAGTACTACAGTTAGGGAGAAACTGTTCATGCTTTCGTTCTTAGTGATCTGCTACCTTGTTATGCATTCATATAGTAAACATTTTGAAAGAGCGAGCAAACTAACAGATCACTAAGAGCTAAAACATAAACAGTATCTCGCTAACTGTAGCACCCATTCGAAGGAACTAGAACCGAT